CCAATTCAAATCCACAGCACTCCAGCACTTTATAGATTAAGACAAAAAAGAGCACTTAGGTCTATTAGCTTACCCTTCCAGGGGCTCATCCCTGTCTATGTTGTGATTTCCAGTCCCTTTTCCAGTATCTGGAGGCAATGTTGTCGCTAGAGAAGGAACCTCCTTGTGGATGCAACCAAATGGCTGAGCTAAGTCCTCTTTGAGGGCATGAGAGAACCATGGAATCCTAAAACACACACTTCCAAAAATCAAGATCTGGGACTGGTCCTGGGTTTCATGTTTTTAGCATGTTTTAGCATGTTTTTAGGGGATCAGTGGAAGGAGAAGCTCCATGGCTAAAGAAGCTAGGAAACTCCAACTCTGGTTTCCTTTCCCTTAGGGGCTCCATTGCTTTGATTCTTGCTTTCTTTTGGAATACAGTCATCTGCTTGTAAAACCCAGGACCACCTTGGAATAGCTGAGAGAGACTGGCCTTTTTCCAAAAGAATTTTTACTAAATAACACATAAGTTAATGAAAGAAAAGGGAAAGAGAGAGAGAGAGAGAAATCAAAGAAAACACAAAGGACAAGATATGGTACTTATCTAAAGACTGGCATCTGGTTTCAGATTAATTACATTCTAGACCCCCAGGCTGCTTTCTTGAGTTCAATATCAGAAAGTTCCCAGACTCTGGCCAGCCCTTATTTTTTTTGCATGTATAAAAATTCCATCCTGATGTTGAGACAAAAACCAACCCTCTGTCTTATCTATAGCTTTCTTGCAGCATCCACTTTTTTTCAGCTAAGCTGTGGGATGCTGGGGACTGCACAGGGAAGATTCTGAGCCTTTTGGCAATCCCTTATCGTGATTCTTTAATCACAACGGCCATGCCAGGAAATTTTACCCTTGCGGAGGCTGGATTTTCCCTGGGGTTTCTGGCATGATCTGAGAGACCCCTCTTTCTTAGTAATGAGGATGGCTGGAATAGAGAGAAGTGACATATAAGTATGAAGCTTAACGTGCCCAACACATTGTATATTTAACTTTTTAGCATAAGCATTCGCCATAGGTGTCAATCACTAGTCATGATTTGTAGAACTTGAGGACCTGAGGGGTTAAGCAACTTGCTCAAGGTGTTAAAGCTGAACAGTCAAACTAGGAGTGAAGTTTGGGCTGATTGATGCAGCCTGAGGAGGTAGAAGTGCCTTTGCTTTCTTTGAAGGCACAGGCTTTTCCACCCTTCTTTGTGTTTTTTTTTTTTTTTCCAATCTAGAGACATTTGCTGAACTCTCTTATGTGCATACCTCTTTGATATTAGGAGGTATAAAAGTTTCCTAGACAAAGTCCCTGCATTCAACTCTGCACCTGGTTCTCTATGTTGAGCCCATCATTCACGGGCACTTATTCTTTCAGATATTGAGCACCTATTATGTAGAAGACGCTGTCCCAGGATCTGGAGATGAAAGAGGTTAAACACACAGAATCTGGGCCTCCCTGGTTGCACAGTGGTTAAGAACCCACCTGCCAGTGCGGGGGACACAGGTTCGAGCCCTGGTCTGGGAAGGTCCCACATGCCGTGGAGCAACTAAGCCCATGTGCCACAACTACTAAGCCTGCGCTCTAGAGCCCGTGAGCCACAACTACTGAGCCTGCATGCCACAACTCCTAAAGCCCACGCACCTAGATCCCATGCTCTACAACGAGAGAAGCCACCAAAACAAGAAGCCCGTGCGCCATAACGAAGAGTAGCCCCTGCTCGCCTCCACTAGAGAACGACCACGCACAGCAACGAAGACCCAATGCAGCTAAAAATAAATAAATAAATAAATTTATTAAAAAAAAAAAAAGAATCCGCCAACCAATGCACGGGACACGGGTTTGAGCCCTGGTCTTGGAAGATCCCACATGCCACAGAGCAACTAAGTCCGTGCACCACAACTACTGAGCCTGCGCTCTAGAGCCTGTGAGTCACAACTACTGAGCCTGTGTGCCACAACTACTGAGCCTGCGCTATAGAGCCCGTGCTCCGCAACAGGAGAAGCCACCACAATGAGAGGTCTGCGCACTGCAACGAAGAGGAGCCCCTGCTCGCCGCAACTAGAGAAAGCCCACACACAACAACAAAGACCCAACGCAGCCCAAAATAAATAAATTAAATTAAAAAAAAAAACTACACAGAATCTAGAGGAAGGAAGAGCCTGGGTTCTGCCACCATCATTACCTCCTACTACTCATCCCCTTCCCCCCAAACTCTGAGCCCTTTCATGGAGGGCGTGGGGTTGGGGCTTCTGGATAAGGCTGTTCCTAAGGGGAGGAGGTAGGTACGGATGGAGGGAGTTTTCTTGGCACTTTTTGCCCATTTATTGTGGTTAGTACCTGGTAAGGTGCACAAAATTGTGGAGATGAAACAAGGAACTAACAGAAACAGAAATATTTTGAAGGGGAGAAATTGCTCATTTATTCAAAAATAATGGGAAAACCCCTTAGTAGAGCTTGTGATCTCTTATTCCTTTGCAGTTTATGGTTTCCAGGTGGCCTTTTCACTTGGAGAAATTCTTCCTGGTTAAGAGATTTCTAGGCCAAAGGAAAGGGCTGAATTATCCCAATACTGCTGCCAGTTTATGGTTTGACTCCTGCTAAATTATTCAACCTATTTATGTGTCAGCTCAGAAACGGAGAGAGTGATGTCAGATACGTCACAATGTGTTTTCCGTGGGATCTCCAGTAAAAGGGTTATAAGAAATAACAGTTATGTAGTGTGCATAACAAAACACTTCTGCTTTTTTCTCTAGGTCAAAAGAGCTGATGCAGGATCACAATTTGACTCATGGCATAAAACCTTTGGGAATCTGAAACTTTCTTGAGTTTAAAAAAAAGCAACAGACACCTGTATTTGCATAGTGCTCTGGGCTGAATGGTTTACAAAGCATTTTAAGATATCACAACTGATCCTTACCCCATCTGTGAAGTGGAATTAGTGTGCCCCTATTTTATACTTAAAGAAACTTGGGTCACACAATCAAGGTAATTCAGGCAAAGGTACTTTATTTTTTATTTTATTTTTTACTTTCCCTCAACTATCTAGAAAATTATTTTTTTCACCTCAGTAATTTGTGATAATGAACCGTCACAAATGCCATCACCAGACAAACAAAACACAGTCTTCTTTTCTGGGGACACTTCCCATCCCTGCGCAGACCCCAAAGCCAGAGTCAACAACACACAGCTGTAAAGCACCAGAAACTCCAAACAACCTAGGACAGTAAGGGATCATCTTCATGTGTACTTTACAACAACGTCTGGGAGTAGTTTGGAATGGATTGGCTTCTCTAAAGAAAGTTGTTTGTGTTCATTTTGGGGGAGAGCCAGCTCAGATTCAACTCTACTTGGTTCTTTGTTTCTGTGAGGGTATGAAGGCTGAGAAAACAGGGGTTGTCTAGAGAATTCGCATGGGAAAATAATAACTTTAAAAGCTTTAGGTACATAACCAGTTAACAGTCCATCACCAGTAAGCTGATTGGCACGATCTCTTTTTTGAGGGGCTGTGGTGATGATGAACTGTAGGGCCCTGTTCCCGTAAGGGCAAAGGAAGCCCCCCTCCTCTAATGGTCTCTTCTCCCAGGCGGGCTGCACTGCAAGCCTGTCTAGAGGCAAGGCCTCCAGGTGTGGGGAAATAGGTCTTATTCAGCCCGGTTTTGGGGTGAACGCGGATAGACCTGACAACGTAGTTACGGTAGACTTGGAAGGGGCCTGTTTTTCTAGTCTTGTCCCCAGATAAGTCTCTGCCCGGAGAAGCTGCAGGCACCTGGGGTCCTCCTGGCTCCAGGGCCTGCCTTCTCCAGGCCCGCCGCATTAACATCACCACGAGGAAGGCGCCCTGCTGCGAGCACTTATTTGCATCCAAGTGTTTGCACTGAGACAGGGGCTCACGTGCTCGAGGTCACACAGACTGGGTCTCTCCAGGGACAGAAGCGGGGAGGAAGCCCTGTCTCGGGGTGGGCAGGTGCCGGGGTACGCTGGTACGCCCTCCACTTCCAGTTAGGTCCCCAGGCCGCCCCCCCTCCCCAATTCCCTGCTGGCCCCAAGCGCTCCGGCCTCCAGGGGGGCCGGGAACTCTGCCTCGCTAGCCTGGCGCTGGGGGCGGGCACCTGCTCCCACCCCCTCGGCGTCCCCTCCCCTTCACTTCCCCCTCCCCTTCCCTTCCCCCTCCCCTTCACTTCCCCCCCCCCTTGTTCC